GTCCCGGGGGTCCCCAAGGGTAACTGGGAGGTCCCGCGGGGTCATCCAGGGGTGACTGGAGGGTCCCCAGGGGTGACTGAGGGTCCCGGGGGTCCCCAAGGGTAACTGGGAGGTCCCGCGGGGTCATCCAGGGGTGACTGGAGGGTCCCCAGGGGTGACTGAGGGTCCCGGGGGTCCCCAAGGGTAACTGGGAGGTCCCGCGGGGTCATCCAGGGGTGACTGGAGGGTCCCCAGGGGTGACTGAGGGTCCTGAGGGGTCCCCGGGGAGGTCTCGGGGGTGACGGGGGGAGGGGTGTCCACCTCTCCGTCCTGGGGGTCCCTGCGATGGGAGGGGGGGGAGGCAGGGGGAGAGCGGGGAGACCCTCGATGGCCACGCCCTCTCACGTAGCCACGCCCCTTCACGGGACAGCCCCGCTCCTCCGCTCTGGCCCCCGCCCCTCCCGCCGTGGCCCCGCCCTGATTCCCGTGGCCCCGCCCCTTCCCAGCGCACCCTTCCCCTTTATGTAGCCACGCCCCCTCCCACCCTATTTCGTAGTAGCTCCGCCCCCCTGTTCTGGCCCCGCCCCATTCCATGTGGGCCCGCTCCATTTCCCCGTGGCCCCGCCCCCGTTTGACCCCGCCCCCTTCTCGCCCCGTTTCCGCCCTGGCCCCGCCCCATCCCCGCCCCGTTCCCGCCGTGCCCCGCGGCCCAAGATGGCGGCCGCGCTGAGGGTCCCGCTGCTGGCGCTGCTCGTGGCGGGGGCGGCGCTGGGAGGGGGCGGCGGGACCTGCCGGGGGGGCTCCGGGACCGGCCCCGGGAGCAGGGTGAGCACGGGGGGGTTCTGGGACCGGGGGGGCTGCCGGGGGAGGGGCCAGTGCGGGTCTCCCCCAGCCCAGGGACCCCCAGGCCGGACAGTGCCCCCTCTCTCCCCCCCCAGTCTCCCCCTGGACCACCCGGGACCCCCCCAGTCACCCCGGCGGCCCCCCCGGCATGGCCAGGACGCCCCAAGTCACCTCCTGGACCTCCCCAGTCACCCCCGGGGTGGCCCCGGTCACCCCCGGGACCCCCCCTCCATCATCCTCAAGAGCCTCCGAGACCCCCCAGTGACCCCTGGAACTCCTCCCGGTCATCCCAGGATCCCCCCAGTCACCCCTGGGACCCCCCCAGTAAGCCCTGGAGACCCCCTCAGTCACCCCCGGCACCCCCAGTCACCCCCAGGGCCCCCCTGGGCTCCCCCAGTCACCCCTGGGACCCCCCCAATCATCCCCAAGACCCACCGAGACCCCCCAGTCACCCCTCGGGACCCCGGGGAGGGGAGGACCGGGGGGGGGAATACGCTTGTTCATTAATATTTATGAGGGGCGGGGGGGGTGCAGTGATCTCATTATTATTAATGAGGATCCATCCGTATCAATTGTCAATAGTCTTATTCGTTATTAATAATATTATTAATAATAATATTAATTATTAGTACATTCTTATTGATGAGGGGTGGTTTAAACTGTCAGATTGTTAATATTCATTTGGGGGCTGGGGCTGTGCAGTGGTGCCTCATTAATATTAATGAAGGAATATTATTATTATTACTAATTATTGTAACAATATTAATGAGTGCTCTACATCCTTAATAGACATAAGGGCTTCAGAGCAATAACTCATTAATATTAATGAGGGATTATTACTGTTATTATTTATTGCATTGATATTAATATTAATGAATGCTCTAGGTCCTTAATAGTCATAAGGGGTTGGAGCAATGACTCATTAATATTAATGAGAGCTGGTCCTATCTGTCATATAGTCATTAATATTCATGAGTGATGGGTACTGCTCCATTATGTTCATTAATATTAATGAGATGTGCACCCTGCAAGTGTATTAATTAGTGTCAGCTCATTAATATTCATAACTGGGTCATCACAGATTGGGCAGAATCTGTTGCATCTCATTAATATTCAAAAGCATGTTTATTAGGTGATGTGATTACTCTCTCATTAATATTAATGAGGGAGGGTCGGTGTCGCTGCCCTGGATCTACATTAATATTCATTGGTGTGGTCACAAGCTCATTAATATTAATGAGGGGGCGGTGTCCTCATCCCCCTTGTGTCCCCTCCTTGTGTCCCCCCAGCCTGGTGACAGCGAGAGCTGCCGGGTGAGCCTGAGCCTGGAGCACTCCTTCGAGCTGGGTGAGGGGACAGGGGGACACTGGGGACATGGGGGGGACACGGGGGACATGGGGGAGACACAGCACTCCTTCGAGCTGGGTGAGGGGACAGGGGGACACTGGGGACATGGGAGGGACACTGGGGACATTGGAGACATGGGGGGGAAACTGAACACTCCTTTGAGCTGGGTGAGGGGACAGGGGGACACTGGGGACAGGGGGGACACTGGGGACATGAAGGTGGCACTGAGGGCGCTGGGCCGGGGGTGGCAGTGGGGCCGTGGTGACAGGGTGCCACCCTGTGTCCCCACCGCCGTGTCCCCGCAGAGGACACCCCACAGTTCCGGTGACACTGGGACAGGGGTGGCAGTGGGGCCGTGGTGACAGGGGTGTCCCCAATGCCGTGTCCCCACAGACGATGCCCCGCGGTTCCGGCGCAGGGGGACCCTGTCACTGAGCCCCGGCCCCGAGCCCGCCCTGGCCCTGGCACAGAAACCCCTCGGGGACGAGGACAGAGCCCGGCTCAGGGTGAGGGGGACGGGGGGGGGGCACTGGGGGACAACGGAGTGACACCGGGGGTGACACTGGGTGCCACTGTCCCCCAGCAGGAGGTGGGCTGGGCTGTACTGAGTGTGGGTCGGGGGGGGGGTTGAGGGTGGTCAGGGGGGTCCTGGGGTGTCCCTGGGGGTGACACTGTCCCTGTCCCCAGGAGGTGGCAGCCCGGGACGGACTGTACCATGTGGGGGTTTGAGGTGACACTGTGTCCCTGTGTGTGACACTGTCCCTGTCCCCAGGAGGTGGCGGCCCGGGACGGGCTGTACCGTGTGCAGGTTTAGGGTGTCCCTGAGGGGATGGCACTGTGGGTGACAGTGTGTCCCTGTGGGTGACACCGTCCCTGTCCCCAGGAGGTGGCAGCCCGGGACGGGCTGTACCGTGTGCGGGTGCCTCGCAGGCCCCCGGCCCCCGGCGAGGAGGAAGGGCCCGGGTTCGTCACGTCCTTCGTGCGAGCGGTGAGTGGGGGGGACACCCGGGACCCCCCCCAGACCTCCTGTGTCCCCCCCATGTTCCCCCATCATCCCATGCCCCCCCATGTCCCTGTGGTCCCTGTGCCTCTGTCCTCCTGTGTCCACCTGTGCCCATGTCCCCCCATGTCCCCTGTGTTCCCCTGTCCTGGTGTCCCCCCATATCCCCTGTCCCAGTGTCCTCCCATGTCCCCCCGTGTCCCTGTCCCCCATGTCCCCATGTCCCCAGTGTCACCGTGTCCCTGTCCCCAGTGTGCCCTGTGTCCCCTGTGCCCTGTGTCACCGTGTCACCGTGTCCCTGTCCCCAGTGTCCCCTGTCCCCCGTGTCACCGTGTCCCTGTCCCCAGTGTGCCCTGCTGGAGTCGCGCCTGTCGGACCAGCTGACCCTGCACGTGGACGTGGCTGGGAACGTGGTG